TCTCTCTCTCTCTCTCTCTCTCTCTCTCTCTCTCTCTCTCTCTCTCTCTCTCTCTCTCTCTCTCTCAGCTCTTCCTTACCTCTACTGTTTATTGCAATTCCATAGAGTTTGCTCTGAAGTCCATCGTCCTCGTCCACGCAACCAACTTTGAAATGTGACAGGTATCCTCCGAAACTGTTAAACATGTAAATATATCTGTTTTGGGAATCGGTAACATACACGCGTTCACTACCGACAACCACGTGACTCAGCTTGCCAGCTTTCGCGTCATCTTCAGCTGGTATTTTCAACCTCGTTAAGAACTCCCCTTTGTTATCAAACGCCTGCACCAGTCCTCCGCTCCAATCGGTGACGAAAAACGTTCCCTCGTTGCTAACAGCTACGTTCAAAGGACCCCCTGGAAATTCACCGTTATCGGTTCCTTTAGTTCCCAACGTGAAGAGAAACTCTCCGGACGAGTCAAAAACTTGCACGCGGAAATTGTTGCGGTCGCAAACAACGATTCTGTTATCCTTGTCCACTGCTACTCCTCTGGCTCCCTTCAGTTGCCCAGCTTCTCCTCCAGGCCCCCCGATCACCAACTGTGGATGGTTTACTTTTTCGTAATCGCGTGACGCATACGGAACAGTGACAACAAACGGACTTTCATTCATCATACAACTTCGAATAGTGACGTGAATGAGGTATTGCCCTGGGACGGAGGGAGTGTAGCTGACGCTGTGTTTCCCGCCATTCTGTGCGGTCACCTCAGCATCGTTTATGCTGCCATCAGGGGTTTCGACCTGAACACGAACGTCGGAGCTTTCGCATCCAATGGGTCTTCCTTTCCTGTCCCTAAAAAGTAGCGTGGAAACTAAAATTAATTACGAGCTAGATTTTACTCGTAATACAACAGTATTACATCAGTCTACAACTTCAGTATTAGCCGCAATTTCGCACAACCTTTATTTTTATTAGCTGTTATTAAAAGGCGCATTTAATAAAGAGAAAAATTAAATCAAATAAAGTACTGGCTGCCACTGAGATTCCCGGCGAAAGAGAAGGGATTCTCTTTCTTGCAGGGTGGATATCGCATGATATTTTACAACGAAAAGAGCTCCCAGTTGCCTGGGCTACTAAGGAAGTGGCGGGGAACGGAAGCAAAAAAAAAACCAAAGGCGGCAAATGTATATTCACATATGGTGCCTTTCCCCGCCTCCTCCTACGTTGCCATGAAAGCCTAAACATTCAAACAGAATTCGAATCTATGAATTATGCCAAGACAGTATCACTCAGGGCAGCACAGTGTACGCTAGAGTTTTGTTTGTTACGGTAATCAGACTCCAGGTACTCAGGTTTACAAACGACTTGAAATGAACCCAGGGGCAAGGCGGGAAAGAGAAAAAATCAACATGTTTGCTTAATTACATTCATTATTACATGTATATGTTCAAATTACTTTTAAGTAATCAAACGTTTTTAACTTTTTTTTAATTTTCAGTCGTGATGTTAGCAACAAACCTGGTAACAACTGTGAAATAAGCTGGTTGGTTGACGTTTGCCTCCTGTAAGCCATGTCCTTCGGCTGTGGAGGTCGCGTAGCAAGCGTAAGACGCGTCCACTGAACCGAATGAGTCAATGAGGCTTTGTAGCGCGTCGTTATTAGCACAGAAACTGATGGCATGATCTTCACGGGGCTGCAATTCATAGTGCTCAATGGCTAGTGTCTGTAGTCTCTCGGAAAGAAGATCTTTGGCTGACAGCAGGTATACTGGGTCACCTATACGGAGAAAATACGGATAAGAGAAACAGAGGTCTGGTCTCATTCTCATTCGACAGCTCTTCTCAGTGCGTTTATCCCGCTAAATCCTCTCTTACCGATATCGGCAACATCTATTGCTGTACTGCTTAGCAGAACCATCAATTCTCAGAACTGATAATGATATTACTCCCAGAACTGATAAAAGAGAAGAACATGGTAAACTTAATCATGGCTTAATCTAGAATTAACTCATGTTAACTGAGTGGACAGACATACGCTCAAGAGACGTGTGAGACTGGACCCGAAAATTCCAAAGTGATGAGATATGTGAATTTTAGCGCGTAATTCACAACCAATCAGAAACTCTAAATCTCCGTAGAGCTACGTCATCAAAATGGAATTTTCGTTTCCAGTCTGAGTCGTTTATGTCTCTGCCACGTATTTCAGCTTGCAGAACTGAGGGTTTCCTCTTACATCGTAAAAAAATAGCTGAGATAAAACAGGGTAGGACTGAGACAAGAGATAAAGTTGCCAAAGAAGTGGGAAGAACCCCTCCACACCATTGCTCTTGTGGCTCCACCCTTCAATTCACGGGCAATAACTATTTTACGTTCAAAACGACAGCGCTGCCATTTACACAAACTATTGTAATTACCTTCTTCGAGCACCCTTTTGACAAAGCGACACGATACTTGCAAGGTATCCCGGGAGGCCTCCAGTCGTTTCCTCTGTATTTCCAGAGCGGTCTTTCTACTCACTCGTACCAGCTCCACCGCGGCTCGAAGCTCGCTTTTCCTTTGTTGCAAAGCCTTAATCTTGCTATTGATGCTATCTTCGATATCACGCAGGACGCTATCAGCTTTCAAGTTTACCTTGGCCTGCATCCAGTCTAGCACAGGAATGGCGTTTTCCACTTTGACGCAAATGTTCCTTGTTTGTTCCAACACTTGCGACAATCTTGGACGCAATTTGGAATACGCGTCTTCTATAAACTGTGTGTTGTGTTTTCTGTGATCTGTCAGCGCACAATTCCGACAGATGGTCACGTTGCATGTATCGCAAAACAGCGCTAATCTTTCGTCAGTATGTGTTTCGCAAAAGGTCGGGCGATTCAGTTCTTTCAGGGACATGGTTTTCAAATGCTCTGTAAAACAAAACATCAACACGAGTAGTTTCATTAAATGGTGTCTTATGTTTGTACAAGAAAAATGTAAAGTCTGCATACGAGCCGAGTGGCCCATCAGGCCGATGCTTTCTCCCGTTATGAAGCGACTAGAAGTATTTCTACTCCCCCCTGACTGGATGCTAGTACATCACAGGGTCACCCCCAGCATTAAATTTGACGGTACTCATTTATACATCTGCATGGGTGGAGAGAGGCAATGTGAGAGAAAAGTGTCTTGTCCAAGAACAGAACACAATGCCCCGGCGGCCAGGGCTCGAACACGGACCGCTCGATCCGTAGAGAAGCGCACTAACCGCGATGAGGTCACCGCGCCTTAACTTCATCATCGTCATCATCATCATCATCATCATCATCATCATCATCATCATCTTTATCAACTTTATTTAAGTGTCGGGGTATTTAGCCAGATGGCTAATTGGGGACGCTGTTCTAATCGTTAATATATATACATGTGTCTATACAAGAAAAAAGGCATAATAATGTTCACAGGAGTCCACAAGGCATACAATTACTAGCCTGTAGAAACGATCGGCCACGCACGTTTCTATGTGGAGTGTACATGCAAGAGATATGTAAACTAGCAGATGCCGTAATAGGAGAAACATAAATCGGTGACGGCAAATGTACGCTTTAAGGGAGAGCAAAAAAAAATAACCTCCACAACCAATGCGCGCACCGAAATTATTTTAATTCCAACACGAAACAAGGACGAAACAAGTACCACTATACAGTTATATTGCTATATTTTAGTAGCTTACCCAAGGAAAGAACAACGTGCTGTTTTGTGTCCCTGGCCTTCTTATGAGCTTCTTCGTGAAGCTCACACAGGTAAAACGAACATTCTCTACATCTAACACGAGCTGACGATTCCTCGCTGTTGTCACAAATATCACACTCGACAGTCTCCCCTTCTTGAATCAACAACAGATCGAGCAGCGACACGAGCAGAGAATTGGCAGGAAGATTTCTCACAGCCTTGCGGTTTTCCAGACCGGTATCTAGTTGACATGTGGGACACATGAGTACCTTGTCCTTAAGCGGTCGGTTTCGCAGAAGTGTTTCGATACACTGACAACAGAACGTGTGTAGACAAGGAAGAATTCTCGGATCCACGTATAAGTTGACGCAGGCTTGGCAAGTTAGGTTCGTCTTGATGTTGGAAACAACATCCATCGTGCTTGCTTCTTTATCTTCGCTCATCGTCTTGGATTTAAACTGTATCGCTGAATAACTATATCGATCTTTATACGAAAACAGGTTCTCTTACAATTAACTTCGGGGCTTCAACGCCTTCTTCCAAACAAGACGATTTCTTAAAAGTTTGCAAGACAATCAAGCTCCAATTCGTTGTCAACTGTAAACAAACACAGCTTAATATCTTGATCCGCAAGCAAACTGAAATAATCTTTCTGATAACTGCTGAAATCACAATGTGCTCCAACTACTGCGCAATTAGCGCGCTTTGCAACTCAATCGATGACTCTGCTCGGGACTCCGTTTTTCGAAAGTGTTACCAGACGTCGAATCTTCATTGATAGCCCCATCGAAGCGAACTAGAAATTCCGGCGTGTACGTGCCGTTTTAAGGACGTGAAAACAACAATGATCAATAACTTAAACATTCAAATAGAATAATTTAGTCACCAAACTGACTAACAACAATGGAAACTGCTTTTGTTATCAATGTTATGTTGTCGCCCATGGGATTTGGAGGGCTTTTCTTAAAAAAGAAAAAAAGCCGCACAATAAACGCCAAATTTTGGGCGCCGGCTTTGTTTTCACTTTTAGGTGCAAACGGACGTTGGAAAAGATATTTTCTTCTTAGCATTATTTCCAAAGTGTAAAGCCTTTTGTGCTTTAAACTGAATACCGATATTTGCAGATTCGACCGGTTGTATTGAAACAGAATTGAAAAAGAAGAATTTAAGTTCTGAACTAACTTTGTTATAACTGTTTAAAAGTATATTTTTGGCATAAAACTGCGGAAAATATGGATGACGTTTTTTTTTTTTGGTAATCTTGATATTTTCAAGATTGGACGATGTACCGTTTCAGTTTATTGGCTGGCATGAGGTTAAGGTAATACGGTTATGAGGTCATATGGCAGCATCTGACCAAGGTAAAGGTAAAGTCTGCATGC